ATAAAGCTGAGGAGGAAACACAAGCATGTGCCTGATCATTATGGCTGGTCCAGGAAAACAAAGCTGAGTGAAACAAATCTCATGGTGTCACTTGCTCATTTGATGGCATGGCTGGGTGCCCAGGTGATGCTTGTCTGTGAAGGTCTGTGTTCTGTGCTGTCCTTGAATCCAAGGACAGTCCTGAGAGCTGAACTTGGGTTAAAGGCACTGACTCCTCTGACTCACTCACTTGAGCTGTGAATTAGCCTCTCCTGCCTTTTTTTCCAGGTAGACTTTTATAACAGAAGTGGATTTTTTTTTGCCTGCCTTTGTTTTAAAGGGAGAGGCAAGTGGGAAGGACTAATCTAAATTAAATACATTACAGAGCTCATATTAATGCCATTTAAGCAGGTCCTTTCTTAATTTACCTTAGTTCTATATAGCCTTTTATATTTTAAAAACATTTTTCATTTCTGTGGGCTGCCAGATGTGCTGCTGATACCTTCTGATCTTAGGTAGTTTGACAATGATTTTCCCAGCGCACGCCAGGGTTCAAGTCTGGCCTGTAACTCATCCAAATGATCTATTCATAACAAAAAGTGCCTTCTGGCAGTTGCACCACAGCTGAATATTGTTAAACTGAATTCATCCTTTCATTTGTTTCTGATTGCTCTATAATGTTTACATATCTTACATATTAGAATGATCTTTTATAAAGCACATGCTGAGGTTAAACCCGCCCAGAGAGAACTTTATTTCCCTTCTTCTCCCTTTCAGAAGGTGTGGAACTGGTTTTTTCCCGTCAAATGAGCAGGAATCTTGGAACTGCTTAGTGCTTGTTTCATCCAAAATGATGGGGCTGAGCAAGCAGGAATGTGTGTGCTGGGGAGGCAGGGAACAGTGACATTTCCTTGCACAAAAGGATTCTCCCCCATCCCCAGACAGAGTAACTGTGAGGTGGAATTGCATGTCTGGGTAATCCTTGTCTAAGCTGGCATATCACCCATGAGGGCAACAGTCCCTGTGTGAACACATTCAGCTGAAATATTTATAGATGCAGCTTATGACTCAAAGTCTGAACAGGTTCAGATTCCTCTTGTCTTCTGTCTTCAAATTCCTGCTGCATTAATTGTGCAGAGATCACTCTCACCTCTAGCATAGGATATCCTCTCTGTGTTTCAGTTTCACTCTATATAAAAGATAATAACTGTTGCTATGTCTCACAGTGGGAGTGTGTCACAGGAGGAATTTCAGTTCAATGGAAGGCAGAAAATCTTAGGCTCCCTTTGAATTCGTATTTCAACTTCCAGAGAAGGATGACATCTCTTATTTGCTTTAAAAATAAAAATCAATTGCCCATAAATCTGAAACACATGTTGTTTTTCTACTAAAAAGATTAAGGATTTTCTTAAGCTCATTAAAGGAAAAAAAAAATGACATTGATCCTCCTATATCACCATAAGAATGTCTGAAGGCAATTGAAAGCTGTAAAAGAGACATGGTGTTATTGTAACCAAAATAGCCTGAATCTGGAAAATTGTGCTTTTCTTTTCTTCTAGGTTCTGCAGCAAGCTTTGCACTGTTTTTCCAACCTTATGCCTCTGTCTAGTCATGTGTTTTAGTGGGACTGAGTGGGATGTATACTCAAACAGAATTAGGACCTTTTATTATGAAAATACAAATGCCAGCTGCTGCGTGGCTTGAAAGATTTAATCACCATCCAAATATTTCAAGTAGGGGAAATGGAAACCATTTGCTGTTTCTGATGCATATAGCTACAGGAGGATGCTCACCCCATTGCTTCTCAAAGATTGTGTGTCTGTTTTGGGGAGTTTGTTATTCTCAATTTTCCTCCTTTCCATGTGCCTCAAAGCCCAGAATCTGCAAAATGTGAATTAAACTCCTTAAGTGAAAGGGGAAATGGGAAATCTGATTATGCCCTATCACATCAGTAAAGCCCAGCATGACAGCCAGTGTTCTTTCTTCCAGTTAAAAGTTCCCACAGCAACAAAACTGATAACCAAGTGCCCTGCTGGCTTTATTCATCAATTGGCAATTCCCAATGCCCTCATTTGCTCTGTTCATGTGTTGAAAGTTTGCTGGAATGTGTACAAATGGTACTTCGGTAGTAAGAGGATAGGAAGGTCTCAGTGTAATGTGAGAAGAGCCAGCATGGAAATATCCTATCCTAAATTCCTGTGAGTGTCCAAAACACTAGGCCAGAAGTACTGGCTGCAGGGAGAATTTGGTTTTTTAACGAAGCTAAATGTTTTGGTGTTGTCAGACTTACAGGACAATTTGGTAAATTGTGACTAATAACAGAAAAGAGGTCTGGGTTTTGTTCTTTATTTTATAAACTCTATTGTCCTTCTTAATGTTTAGACTTTCCCCTGATTTCATAAAGCATCTCAATGCCTTTAATGTCCTTTGGCAACTTGTTTTTTTCAGGTGACACAACAGTTGGATTTTAAGCTTGATCCCTTTGCCATAACCAGATTTTTTCCTTGAGCAGACTGCAGAATGCTGCAAAGTTTGCTGCATCACAAATATTTTGAGATAAGCCTTCAAAACCCCAGGCCCCTTCTGCCCTGAATGTTCCTTGTCACCTCCTGTGCTGTGTCTGTGGCTGTAGGGTGGGAATGAGTTCGGATGTTTGGGTTCTCCCCTTGCTTCCATCACCAGTTCAGAGCAGATCCTGACTGGTAACTTTGACCAAATTCTGTGTTCTCAGTAAGGTCAGTGAAGTGGAATTGGTCTAAAAATCAGCTTGTTTTAGGACTTGCTTTTTGTTGCACTTCATTTTGTTGTTGAAATCGTAAAAGAAGGCTTGCCCCATCGAGGTGATGAAAACTCAAAGCTGTATTAATTTGTAGTTTTAAGAGAAAACAAAACAAAACCAAATGTCTTTGCAACGTTTTTGACGTAGCTTCGTCCACTTGGAGTCATAAATGCCTTTGTAAATTCAGTGCAGCTATTCTTGCTCTTTAATGGGTTTAGTCAGCCAAAATCTTGTACAGACACACAGACACATGTGTACACATACATCTATAGGCAGAGTAAATCAGGGCATCAGAGCTGATAAGGGAGAACCAAGCAGGATTCCCAGATTTGTTAGATGTGTTCCTGAGAGAAATCAGCATTTCTTGACACTGTGGTGATGTATTTTGAAAAACAAATTTTTGTTGTTTTGTTTTCCTACTTAACTTCCTGACAAGAATCAGCTGTACTGTAAGTTTATGGCTTGAGCAGACTATTGTTTGTGCAGAAACCTCCCTGCTGCTGTATTTACTAAACATGTGTGATGCACAAATGCCAGTAAACTGCATCTTGGAGGATAATCCCTAGTGGCTAGTAAAAACTGCCTTTAAAGTTCAGCCTGTTTAAATATAGAGAGAATGTGCACCAAATTTAACAGGAACAGGCCTGAATTTTTAATTATTCTCAAAACTGTTTTGATGTGAAGTCCAGGCTTTATTGAATTCAACAGCAAACCTTGAGCATCCTTCAATGGGTCTAGAATTTTGCTATTGAGGAGCTAAGTCTAAGTACAAAAAACTCCATTGTCCCATTGATTAAGACTTCTCTTTTTGCTCTTCAGCACTGGAAACACACAGACTGGTCTTGTTAGGGAATTAATTCTCTTGTATCCTTCTCTGCTAGTAGTTCCCACCTTCTAGAAAACAACGGTTGCGGATTTAGCCATCATCAATGGGAAGTGCAGCATAAATCATGGGAATGGTGTAGGACTGCACTGCTGTTCTCTTTTCCCAGAGAAATCACAGCTGTGTCTAACTTGAGTGTATATATGTGGTCCTGGAAGAGAAAACATGGATCCTGCTTCCAAGAGAAGCCTGGCAGGGCATGGATGGCCTGTGTCCTCCAGCCCCTGCTGCACGAATTCTATGTTCAACCATTCACAATTAGTCTTTGGAGCAAGTGGGGACCCAACACCATCCCAGTTCCTGGTGTGTGCTGAGCCTTACTTGCTAGACTGGGCAGTGTTCTGCTGAACCAGAAGGAAAGTCTAGAAAGTCTGTCTGGTCTATTGAAAGTGAAACCACTTTGTAAGAGGAAGGAAAATGCCCTCCACCCTTATAAACTGTTAATTTGCATCTTCTGAAGGAGAGAAAGGAAATGAACCAGTGTCTCCCACATCCTGAGCGGTCTAACCACAAAGGCAGGCAGTGCAGGGGCTGGGCTGTCACTGTGCTGGGGTATTTGTGTGCAAGCGGTGGAGCACAGCCCTGCCCCGTGCCTGGGGGACACTGCTCAGATATCTGCCTGATCTGCCCTCACAGGTGTGAAGGAAGGAGTGGTTTGTAAAGCTAGGCCTAAGGAAGAGGCAGAACCTGCTGTTTACCCAGGCAGATGGATTGGTGTTTGCTGCTGAACCCAAGCAGATGCCAGCCCAGGTTTGCAGCCTCCACCTGAGGCACCTGACTCTCCTGGCACCATTGTGAGGGCACTGGAGCTTGGGGTTCCACTGCCAGCATGGGAGAGGATGGCAGATCTCAAGGGACACCACTGTCCTCTGCCAGCAGGACTCCCTCCTGATTCTGAACTCTCCAAATGTACAGGATGGGTGCTCTGGAAACTCCTGTGGCTGATTACAGTGCCTGTGTTTGCTCATGCCAATTGAGCAGAGTGTTGTATCCCACTGATCACTCTAAGTAAGGCCTTTTTCTATAGAAATGAGGCAGTTTCCCTCTCTCCATAAAACACAGCTCCTATTCCTGAAATTTCTTATTTTCTATTTGGCCAGGCCCAGCTGTTCTGTCAGTGGGATGAGTGGGTTGTGGACTGTGTCTTGTCATCTAAATATTTAGTAAATGGGGGAAAACATTTTTTACATGCCATTTTAGAGTAAATTTCTACCTGTATATCTCCACTTCTGTTGGTAATTTCAGTGGAGAAGCAGAAATTGTCTCATCATTGAACTTTGATAGTTGCCAAGCTTTAATTGTGAAGTTCCTACTTTGACAAGCACTTTGATTCACTAGATCTTTCTGTTGCTTTTCCAGGTCAGTGAATCCCCCATTTTTGTGCCTGGTGTTTGGGGACCATATTTCTCTGCGATGGTACCTGGATTGTGGTTGAATGAGGGAGGCCAGAGTGCTACAGGAAAACTGGTGAGTGTTTGGAGACACAGACAGACTCCAAGCCTGCTGCTGTTTGGAATTCCTTCACTGGCAATTCAGACCTGAAACACCGCCATAAGATCATGAGATGTACCAAGCTGCTGAAAGCAATTAACAATTAGATGAATGTTATGTCTGTTACATAATACTAATTTGTGTAGAGATAGGGGATTGCATACAGGGCATGTCTTCCTTTTATGGTGGTGGTGATAATTATTGTAATTATCTTACAGGCAAATAGGCTTCATTCTTTGCTTTAGCAGGCTGAAACAGACTTTGAGGTGAAGAAAATGATACATATTGTATTATATAGATCAGTTGTGTTCATTGATGGGCATAAATGAAAGATATATGGACAGAATAGTAATATAGTAACATATTATTCCATCAACTCAGTTCTTCCCCTGAATACAAAGAATCTAACAGTATTAGGTTAATTTAATTTAGAAATAAAAATTAAAGCCAAACAGGGTTCACTAAAAAATAAATTTTCTTATTTACAGGAAGGCAGTCAGAAGTCAAACACTGATATAAAATTCAAAGAAAGGCTACATGTACACAACAGTATTTAGGCTTGAGTCCAAAAATTTCAGCAAGACCTTGGTGACTGCTTAACCCTGGAGCTTCTGAGTCTCCTCGTGTCACCTTGCCCAACCTGTGGAAACCCTGGCTGCCCTCAGGGCTGAGCTGCAGGGGCCTCTGGGGAGGCTGAAGGGGACAACCCCAGGCCTGTGGAAAGCCCCAAGTGCAGGAGGGTTTGGTCAGTCACAAACTGCAGCTGTAATCGCTCCTGACTCAGCACCACCTATCTCTTTATAAGCCTGGAGATGGGAGTACATGGTCAGGAAATGCACTGGGACATCTCTGCATTTAAACATTCCATATGGAACAGTCACTGAATGAGAAGCAGAAATCCTCCTGGATTGGGAAGCCCAGACATGCCCCAAGCTGAGCTGTGACTGGGGATCCCTCCTGTGCTCTCTCCTTGGCCACGTCAGCCTGACATTCCTCCGTGTCACAGCTTCAGTGGCACAGTCATTCCTCTTCCTGCAGCCTGGTTTCCCACCCCACCTCCAGCCCATCCTTAGCCTTGTAGCTAAAAACTGTTTTTGCAGCAGGTGGAATGTGGATGCTTTAAATTTTTCAGGTCAAGATTGGGCTAAGACCAAAAAGCATCCCATTTTACAAATAACTGCTACAGCCAAACATAAAAGTAAATAATGTCCATATAAAATAATAAATATATGCTCATAGCACCACCATTTTTCAAGGAAAATAGCAAATCTTGTATGTTGCTTCTCAGGTACACTTTTAAGAGGGAAGTTTCTGTGTGCTTAATTCCAAGCAGGTAAATACATTTATCTAAGCTCCAGACAGGATACAGGCAGTCAGTAGTTTTTCTTGGCTGGCTCACAGTGGTTCCACGCTTAAAATGTACAATGAGAATTAAGGCATTTCAAAAAGATGATTTTAAAAATCCTTTCATTTCTTGTACCAGAGAACAAGGCATTCCTGAATCATTAAAGAAATTACTGGAAAAAATGAACTGTCTTGTTAGGACCCATAGCAAAAGTCAGCTTGAAGTACTGTTAGGAATATTAGGGAAAGTGTCTCATTAAAACACTTTTGGAATGTCCCGTGTGGTTTTCTTGAGGTGGTATGAACAGAAAACACAGAGGGAGCCGTGGGAGGAGGCAGTGCCATGTGCACTGTGCAGGGTACATTGCATTTATTATCTCTGTCATTTCAAAGCTCCTGCTTTCTCACACCTAAAGTTTTCTGAAAACATACCAAAACAAAGGACATGTTTAGGGATTCTTTCCATTGTTTGATCAACACCCCAAGGTGAATTATTTCCATAAAATTTTAACAGTCTGATCAAACTTCTTAAAAGGAAAACTGATCTCTTTTAGAAGCTCTAATTTTTGGGGGGATACAATTGCAAAAGAAATCAGTTGGATTTTGAAAACTATTTTAAATAGAGTCAAAATGAAAAACTAAGAAGTTGCTTGTTCTGCAAATTCTTGTTTAGTTGTATATTCAGTGGGGTTTTATGCTGTATTTTCAAAATTTTTAAGAAAAAAGATATTGCACAACAGAGACAAAGGATGGCATGACATCATTACACACTGTGAAGTAAAAAATAGCAGAAAAGGGTTTCTAGATGCATCCCTCATGTGGCCATGGCTTGAATTAAGGGCAAACTTCATAACTCCTGTAACAGTTCCATGTAACAGTGTTTTGATAGCACACACCTATATATGACATTTATTTATAGATTTATTTCTGAATTTATGAGCTACCTCTGTGTTCTGAAGAGATTCTGCAGGACTGCAGAATTTGGGCCTGAGCTGTGTTTCTGGAGCATGCACATGTTTGAACTCTGATGCTGATCTCATGGAGAACAGTCATGCATTATTTTCTTTGCTGTGTTCACACGTGTATGCTTCATTATGCGGTTCAGGACTAGACTCATGCTGTTAAGATTAAATACTAATGTGATTTGCTGTCAATAAGTACTGCCAAATATAGTCAGTGCTCTTGAGCAGCTATAGTTTTGCCTCCTTAGCTTTTACTGTCACCTCTGATGGGATATTCCCAAGAGGCCACAAAACCTGCTGAATTATTGTCTTAAAAGCCCATATTATTCTACCTGATACTTTGTTTTGTGAGTAATGGTAACCACTTTGGAGTGAAAGGACAAGCTGACTTATAAATTCAGCGTAAGACAGAGCTTATATTGATCTTCTTTTATAGCAATAATTGCTTCTCAGGGTATACATTTTGTTTCCTGCAATGAATGCATGAAGCATCTATCAGGATGACAACACACCTTGTGTTTTATCATAACAGTGTGATAGAGAAAGATGATGTAGGGATTTGGGCCAAGAAGATGCTTTGGTAGAATTCCAGTGAGGATATCCATGCAGAATGGGAGAGACTAGAGGACATGCAGGGAGTGTTGGACTGAAAAAAAGTCATCCTTTCACCTTACTTTTGTGACTGAGGAGCTGCATGATTAGCATTTGGTCTGGGTTTGGTGCGAGGTTGCTTGTTTTTCTTACTGTTTATATGCCAAATCCTGAATTTCAGTGGGAGTTTTGCCATTGGCTTTGCTAGGGCTAGGATTTAACACTTCATGAGTAATTTAGAAGCTCTCTTCTCTTTAGAGCTGTGACACTCCTTTCCCTTTTCCAGGACTGAATTTTCAAGATGTAATCATGCCCAAAATGTTGCTTTTCTCTTTTTCAGATCGATCATGTGGTGCGAGGCCACGTCGCCTTCCCAGAATTAGAGGCAAAAGCTGCAGCCAGGTCACTGTTTTATTCCTTTATCATATACCTGCCTTACACACTGAGGCACACTGTATTCCCAGCAGTGTCCTCATTCTCAGTTAGGGGAATTAACACTCTGATAGTGAGCTGGAAGTATTTACAAAGACTTTCCAGGTGATTGCTCATAAATATAAGGTTTAGACTGCCCTCAGATACCTTTGCAATCATATGAACTTTTTGCTTTTCAATCCAGCCCAAGGTATTTCTTGATTCCATAGCACCAGCCCTGTTCAGCAGACCTCCATGCCTTGGGCTAACAATATGTCTTAATTTGTAGGTGAAATAATTAAGCTCCAAGGATGGGCTGTAGCTTAATCAGGAATACATTATTCAGTATTTTTCAAACAGTCATCTAAACGAAGGTGTAGCCACTGTATGAGAAACTCCTGCTTGGCAGCACAAATAGAACAGAGAAACCCAGGATGAATTTTCAGACAAAACTTTAAATGGAAGGGTGACTTGGAGGTAGCTCCAGGATTCCTTGAACAAGAGTCTGTGTGTGATGTGGGATTTGAGCTGCTTCTGCTTTAGAAGTGGATGAAGACAGTTCAGACACTTCTGTCAGGTCTGGACTTCCTCAAGCTTTTTTGGCTTGGATTCATACTAAGATGGTTCCCATCACTCCCAGAGAGGTCTTAGCTGAACAGTTGGGCATGCTGGATGAAAATGTGATTCTCTTTTAATGTCTTTTTCCTCCTTAGATTAAAGAAAAAAAACCATAAAACTTGGCATTTTCCCTTCAGTTCTCCCTCTGGTCTGAGAGGCAGAGTCAGTCCTGACAGATGGATTAAGCACGTGCTGTTACAGGGTTATTTTCAGTCCTCCCTGGGGAGATAAAGCTCTACCTGGTTTCTCTGGATGACCCTTCCTTGCCTTGCAGGGCCCACTGCCTTACTTGTTTGTTAAGAACTTGACCAGGATTCCCAGAAATGTATTGGACTTGATTCAATATGAAACAGATTCATGCTTCCTAGAATTCTCTTTGTTGTTCTCTGGAAAAGGAAATCAGGAAATAAATGCATCTGTGTATGTTTGGAATAAAGATTGAACTGGGTCATTTTCAAAATTCTGGCTTCCAGGCCATTTTTCCAGTGCCCCCATTTGAAGCACAAACATAAGACAAACAATTTAGTCTGTAATGCCAGGATAAATTAATTTTTTTGTGTTGGAAAAATGCCTATGGAGTAGCCTACTTGTGTCTGCTGGATCTGATACTGAACTGACTGACCACAAACAATGCCACAGTGCAAAAACTGAGATTGTGATGTGAACAGGACACTAAACACAGAATATTGGCAGTAGACCTCCATGTTATCCAGGGGTACGGTGTCATAATGCTGGATTTGAGTCTCCTGCAGTTAGTGGTGGAGAATAGCACTGATAGTAAGAGCTGTAATGTTTTATAAAATCAGTGATAATATTTTATTAAGTTAATTTGCTCAATGGTATTCTGGTAATGCTTTCCAGGTATCACTCTTCTATTGAAACAGTGGTATTGCTATAAATTTACTAAACAAGTCTCATATTAATTCTCTCACCTTCTGTCTCCCTGTGCTTCTCAAAAATTTATTATATTTAAAGAATTTAATTTGAATGAACAAAAATCACGAACTTTGAAATTTGAACTTATTTTTTCCCCTTATATTTTCCTTTCTACTTTTCCATCATTCCCCAAACTTCAGCCTTATCATGGGTACAAGTGGCAGCTGCTGTTGGCCTAAACTCTGGATTGTGTGTTTACCTACTTTTAAGTCATATACACAGAATAAAAATAATCACAGAATGGTGTGAGTTTGGAGGGACCTTAGAGCCCACCCCGTGCCACCCTTGCCATGGGCAGGAACACCTTCCACTATCCCAGGTTGCTCCAAGCCCCATCCAGCCTGGCCTTGGACACTTCCAGGGATCCAGGGGCAGACACAGCTTCTCTGGGCACCTGTGCCAGGTCCTCCCCACCCTGACCAGGAAGAATTCCTTCCCAATATCCCATCCATCCCTGCCCTCTGTCACTGTGAAACCATCCCCCCTTCTCCTGTCACTCCAAGCCCTTGTGATTGTCTCTCTGTAGGCTCCCTTCAAACATGGTATCTTGTTTTGGGGGATTATCGATGATGATAAATTATTTCCCTGGAATTCTCAGCAGAACAATTCAGAGAATTTGGTTTATTATGTTTAAGGATATTCTCTGTGTGGCTGTAGGAATTTGAATCTGTTCAGCCATTGCAAATATCCATGGAGGAGAAAACAAATGAGAATTCCATACTTCGGTGTGGAATTCCATATTGCCTTTACTTCCCATGCTGGGTGCAGTGCAGTGAAGAGTTAAACACATGCATGTCTGGATCATTAAAAAAAGAACATCAGAGGTCACAAATCCATGGCTCTTGCTTGCTGCTGCCAATCACCTCCTTCTTCCTCTCCAAACCTGTCCTCCCTTTCTCCTGATGCTGCTAAGAAGCAGGTTTGGAATGGCAGGTCCCTGCTGAACAGCTGATTTCAGTAGTTTCCCCGTGCAAACTCTCCTTTGCCCACACCAGAGCAGATTTCCAGCTGTTTTAGCACCGGTGCAGAGATTTGTGGTGACTTGTGAGGGTGTGAGAGGCTCAGACAACCAGCTCTGACCACTGCTGCTGAAGGCCAGGCTTGTGCAACCCTTCCAGTCCTATTCCTGGGTTCCTTTTTACCCTTCTTTTACTGGAAGTGGAGAGGGTTGAATGACACGAGGATTTTCTAGACAATTTAAATTTAGCATCTGGTCTAACTGATGGGCACAATCTGTGAGCACCAAAACTTGGGGTTTTTCAGGCAATTCAGCGAGTTACAGAAATTGCTGTGATGTATCACTTCTGCTCATAGTCCTACAAATTGTGTAGGTCTGACATTTAATCATTTCTGCTCTGTTAAAACCTGTACAGGTAGATTAGAGTAGGAAATTAAATAATATGATCCTTTTTGCTTTAAAGTTTAAATAATTCTGTTTTCTAGAATGACCATTTCTAATCTGCTACAAAAGAAAAGTGTCTAAATGACAGCAAATTTGTATATCATTTGTCACTTGGTGAAGTGATGTTTTAGGGCAGAATTCCCTTTCCTATGGATCTCAGTGCCATTTCCCCATCTAAAGAGATGTTTCCTGAAAAGAAAGCATTGAAGTTACACACACAGCATCCACCAGTTATTCTGGGGTCTTACTAGCAGAATTTAAGAATCATATTTGGCAGTTCCCTCTATCTCTAGATGGCTTAGAACATTTTTTTTTAAATTTAGAAATCTAAAACTTTTGAATTTTTTTTTTCTCTGAAAGATACCTGCTGGCACCTTCCATGATTCTTGAATAGATTAAATACCAACCTCTGGTTGCTTTCTGAAGTCGTGTCCCGTGTACAAACATAACTCTGGCCACGCTTGCATTTATTTCTTATCTCCACTTTCACACAGTTCCTTTTTCACGGCAACAGCTCGTGCTCAGCTCTGCAGGTCAGAGGCAGCTGCCACTGATACTTTCACAGAGAACTGAGTAGAAAAAGCTCCAGGAGGTGATGGTGTTATACTGTTTTAAACACAAAGGTGGTAAAACAGGATCTGGCAAGTGTTCAAGGGATTTTGCTGGTCACTCAATCCAAATGTAGTCCCTTGAACCCTTATCTATATTTAGGAAAACAAATAAAATATGAAAATGTGTAGGAAAAAGTGTAATTCCAAGGTTATGTGGATCTTAAGCATATTTGGCTCAACTTCAGCCTCCTTTTGTTCAGTCCTTGTGTTCTGACAGAGCTGCACAAATGGCTAATCCTTGTGAGAGCAATCAGCCAGGATGGAGAGGAGAGAGAGGCTGGGATGTCTGGTGGGTCTGTGGTTGAGTGAAGCTTTCCTTTTTTATCCTTCCCAACAGTCAAGCCATGATTGAGGCTAGAATTAAAATGACTTTATCTTTAGCATGTACTGCTTGTAGTGGAGTCTTTAGAGATGGAGAAAACAGGGCCACTTTTACAAGAACGAGAAAGAAGTGATGGTGACCTCCAAATTATCATAATTCGGGTCCAGGAAGACACATAAAGTACATTTTAAAGGATGTGAATAATGATGTAAATTAGTTATTTTAATGTCTTCCAAGTGTACTTCATTTTGAATGATATCCTCTGATAATGTACACATGGTAAGGTATAATTGAAAAAACATGCAGCTGAATGGTTGAATGCAAAGTATAAATATACAGCTGCTAGTGGGTCAGAAGTCAAACTAGTAAAGCATATGCCAAATTCCCTTAGGGATCTCATTAGTGCATGATTGAATATACATGTAGAGGCTAAATGAATATCACTGTTTGGGTTTACAGTGGATGAGACAATCACTAATCAATTGTAATTAGGGTTAGATGCTATTATTGACCCACATGTCTAGAATTAAATACCCCACTTGGAGATTTCCAAGGAGTTGGAAAATATATATGGGTTTGTTTGTGATAGGATGAGTGTTTGAAAAAAATATTCTGAGCATAATTGCAACATTTTTAAAATGGAATGTCACTAGAGTCATTGCAAGCCAAGGCACTGAAGAATTCACCATTAGTCCTAAGTCCAGGAAAAAAGTCTGCTGGATATTGTGGAGTTGGGTGTAGCATCTGAACTTAGATACAATCATATTCAGGCCCATGTTGGGCTCCTCCCTAAAATAGCAGCCACTCACTTTCTCTCCTCCACCCTTAGTGCTGCATTTTAATCATAACACACACTGAAATAATTATGGTTTAAAAAAGGAAAGCTGTACATCCAGAACTATTGATTAATCAGAGAAATTTTTAAACATTTGCAAAGGAATTTATTTGGTTTTCATTTCTGTCTGGAATCCCCACTCCTCCCTCTCAGCTGTGGGAGAGGAGTAGCAGCATCCCCCAAATCTCAAACAGTTCGGGGGACTCTTAGGAGTCCCTGGACAAACTCAAGGTCACATTATCCCCTCTCATCCCTGGAAATTAAGGAATTCTGATGGCCTGTTGAGCACATGTGCACAGATATCCCTACACTGCCATGGCCTTGGCAGGCAGTGGGATGTTGCCGTGCTTTGGTGGGGTTTCTGCATTTGGTGGTAGTACAAATGTTTTATGTTTGAGGAATAACCTTCCCCCTTTTTTTCCAACTTGTTTTTCTTGCAGTGCTCACAGTATATATACATACTTGAACAGTCACCTGGATCTGATTAAGAAATCTTTGCCTGTGGGTTTCCTCACTGTTGATTTACATGTTTGGCCAGATTTCCATGGTAACAGATCTCCCTTAACAGATCTGACACTAAAGGGCATGGTAAGAAACAGCCTGTCTTTGCAAAAAGGTCAATACAGGGTAAAAAAAAAAAAAAAAAGCAGTTTGGAAGGAGCTTTTCTTCAATTTTGACTGTACTCCTCCTTAGCTATTTACACTATCCCAAAGGATTTGGGTTTCTTGCTGCATTGCTGATGTTTCAGTAGAAAACCAGAGATCGTTGTACTTGAGATATTACTACAGCCACATTAATTTTCTAAAAACTTGAGGAATGTTGTGTGTGTCCAGGTACCTTTCCTAGGAATCACATTTCACAGCTCTTGCTGTTGTTATCTCACCTGTCTACCAAATCTTACAATTTGTTGCAATGAATTTCATGAGAAATTTGGATAAACCTGTCTGGGAAAGGAATGAAATATTCTGATATAGATGGTTGATTTAAACAGCTTTTCAGCCCATATTTCAGAGTTTGGGTGTTCCTCTTCCTTACAGTGGTAGATCAGCTCACTCACAAGCCAGGGCTGTGCAGAACTGTAACAGAAGGGTATCATAAGAGTATCATTTGGCAATATCAAAATACCTGGTGAATAGTGCAAAAATCTCCTTCAAAATGACAAATTGTCCTTGAAGTGAGCTTCTCAAGCTACTCACCAGCACCAAAATCTGCTGCATTTAAGGCTGAGATAGGAAAGGCATAAGCACTGCTGCGTGTTTTAAGCCACAAATGAGGGAGACATTAAAATAATACAAGGGCCTATATATTTTTGGGTCCTAATAATATCTCCATTATTTTATGAAAGAATTACATACTGCAGCAAAATCAGAATTTCCTTGGTATGATGGCTGTATGCAAATACTGGTAATAGCAACCCATTTTTTCTGTCACAATTCTGTCTGCATTCAGGTCTTGCCTGATATTAATCCACAGTAACTACAGTGCAGTATTGATTTATGCCAAAGTAAAGGAGGTTAAGATATAGTATTTAATTATTAATTGTGTCTCAGTGTCAGGGTACTTGGGAGGGAGGGGGAGAAATGCTTTTATAAAGTTATTTTTATGTAATAGAATTTTCATATTATTACATTAAATACATTCACGAGCAATATCTGAGTCATAACATAAAACTGTCAGAGTTAATCTATCTCTAATCCCATACAATACTCTGTTTGTTCTTTATTTCTTCACAAGGGCAAGGATAATTTATGTGGTTCTTCCCCAGATCAGGAATAACATGTTTAACATAACATTATGTGTACAGCTCACAGGAGTAAGGCTTGGAATTAGCACTAAAACTTGTTACAACAAGAAGCCATAGAGAATAACAGAGTTTTACTTTGGCTGGATTTTTACATCTTCATTTTGATCTTTGCACAGGTTGTTGGACTAACATTGTCTCGGGGTCTGGATGAACTTGCCCTTATCTACCTGGCCACAATCCAAGCCATTGCTGTAAGACATTTTTGGTGCATAAAAGAAGAAATGAATTGTCTCGTGTTCTGTGCAGACTGATCATTCCCTTCTGCTAACCAGATTTCCAATAATGAATTCAATTAATGGGCTTCTTAGAGGAGCAAGATACTGTTCACCCACATTGGTGACCACTCCCACTGGAGGGTAATCAGCAGACTGTGGGGGAAGATGTTTCCCTAAAAAATCTTGTCTTTATGGCAATTCTGTAAGGCGAGCTTTTGCCTCTGGTGCAGATGTGAGGGAGGAGGCTGACAGCACAAGGAGCAGTGTTAACATCCCAGCTGTCTAGAGGGAGGCTGAGAAAGGGGGAGAAAAGCTCTGGCAGTTGTACAAAGGGCTCTGTGCTGCCCTGAAAAGCCTCAGCTTCAGATTGTTCCCATATCCATGGGTTTGCCCTCCCTGCCCGGTGGGTGAGGCACAGCTCTGTGCCATGCTGAGCAGAGCTGTGGTTCAGACCCACCAGGGCACAGCTTCTCCCCTGGTGTCCCTGCCCCGAGGGGAGCAGTCCCAGCCTGTGGCCATGGCTGGGCAAGCAGGCAGGGCAGGGTGGCTGGGAAATGTTCCTCGTGTTTGTCAGCACGCAGGGATGGGGAATCTCATTGGAATACTTCTCTTTCTGCCCTGATTTTCTCTTGAACCCAGGATTTCCAGTTCACGAGAAGTTCTGTTTTGAGGTGAAACCCTGGCTCACAGAAGTGGTTTGGAAGGCCTGGTGTTTCCAGTGGGACATGCTGTCCCCAGCCCTCTGGTGACTGAAATCCATATTCCTTTAAAATCCTTCCTGTCAATTTTTTTTTTTTTTAAGTTTGTTGAACTTGAGGTGTTTTTTGCAAAACACGAACAGTCTGATGAATTGGGGAGTTTTCCTGACAAAACTCTGTTCAGTTGGAAAACTTCCAAACTCCTCTCCTGGTTAAACAACAACTTTTCTAGGCTGGGTCAGCCATCTGGGATGGAGAGGGTGGGCGGCTGCTGTAAATTTGCTGGGAATTGTTCATTTTATGTGTTAACCCTCCCTCTTCAGCAAAAAATAGAACTTAACCCCAGCCCGGGATTCATTGTTGTGACTTTGGAGCCTTTTGCAGATGGATGTAGCTGGGTTATACCTGATGCTTCAGTATAATCCCACCATTGAAAGAAGAATGTGGAGGAGAGGTTAAACAATGCCAGGGACTGATCCTGCCCCTGAAAGGAACTTCCCAGTCTGGAACAGGTGCCCTGTGATTATCTCGTGCTAACGAAGTGGAAACCTTCTCTGCTGGAAATCCTGGGAAAGTCACCTATTATCTCCTTATATGATACAGCTCAAACTTTATTGTAAAACACAAATACTGTCTTGAGCAGTAAATTCAGCAGCTGCATATCTTTCAGAGAGCTGATTGGGCTGATTTAATATAAAAAGGCCATATTGTAATTTTCTTTTCACTTTAAATTAAAGGAAATTATTTTTCCCCAAAGCATTATTGAAACAGTAACTATAAAGTAGACAGAGAGCATTAGTTTAGACTCAATATATTTACTAATTGCTAATGGGATACCTAGGAAATTAAATTTTCACTCCCAATTTTAGCTTCACTTTTATTGAGGGAAACAGTTGTAGTAATCCTGTACCATTAGCTGTCTTCAATGGGTGCAATATAAACTTTAAACCTATGTAAAAATCTTGTACAAAGTGTAGGCCTGCCCACAGAATGTTAATCTCTAGTTTTCTTTTCAGCAGGAGATGCTTTTTCCTTTTCATATAAAATTTGCATTTGAAGCCCCTCAATTTGCATTTTCTCCAACCCAGGATTAAATTAGTTCCCCCCCACCCACAGTGAAATAAGTCTGGCTTTAATTTAAATTGCGATGTGAATACCATTTTCCAGGCAGGTAAACACAAAATAATTTTCACAGCATGTTCTTTCTCAGGGTCTTTGACGTGTGTATGTTGTGAGAGAAGTTGTTAATAAATTTGAATTTCAGAAGCAGTGAAAGAGAATCCCCTTTTAACTATTCACTGCAAAATGCAATGCAACAGTTGGCCAGATGAGAACATGATCAGAGATGTAATTGTGGCCGTCCAGCCCGTTCTGAGCAGGCAGACTCCTTTTGGAGCAGTTTGTTTTTCCATAATTAAAATCGTGGCTGTGTGATTTGGAAATCAGCTCTCTGTGTCAATAGGGAAGCGATGGATTTAGTCAGCTGGGGCTGCTCAGGTTCCTCTGAACTGCTTGTCTAAAAATCAAAATACATTTGAAGGCCTGTCCAGAATAGCACTGGGCATTCACTGTGGATGTCTCCAGCCTGGTGGAACCCTTGCAAATTCAATTTTCAGTAGCTTTTATTTGAAGAAGGGTTTGCAGCTGCAGCCCTTTTAATGCAGCATGGCCTAAAGAAAACTTAAATAACAGTTTATGAAAACTCTGACCAGATTGTGTTTTGTGGGCAATCTGCTTAGAGTCAGCCTGGGCAACATTTTGCCTTGAATTTTACGTTTTGTCAAGTCTGAGCTCCAAAGTATACTTCCAAGGTATTATAAAGAGCTGGGAATTATTTTTTGTCAAATACTTTGTCAAAGAAATGGAAAATATTCTTGCAAGAGGGAAATAGGGAGAAAGTTGACTTCAGTGAGGAGGGAAGCAAAGCAAACAAAAAGAAAAAAGATTTTATTTTCTGAAAATGGAAAAGCATTTGCTTCTGTCATTCTGATTTGAGTTTCTCAGAATGGAAACCATAAATGAAAAGTTTAAAATATGTCTGCATTCAAGATGTTTCAACTAATCCAGCCATGAAGTGGAACATTTTATTTTGCATAGGGCAAAAGCCAAGAGAAATAGTTAAGCCAATACAAAATTCTTCAGGTTTTCCTTTTTGCTGAAAAGACAGAAAACAGTTTTTTATTTGCTGTTCTCTTTTTGTTCTGTTTTGCTATTTGGCTTCAGAATTGAAACCTCCTTACTGAGCTTGATTTTCAGATGCTGTTGTACAAAGTAAAGAGAAGGTTTTGGTGGGGATGTCTTTGCCATGCAGGTGTAGTCCTGTTCCTGTGGCTGCTCTCCTGTGCTCATCTGGTTCTGTTTTTTCTCCCCTTTTTGTAGTTAGGAACAAGACATATTTTGGAGGTGATGCAGGCTGCAGGACATGACATCACCACGCTGTTCCTGTGTGGTGGGCTGAGCAAGAACCCTCTCTTTGTGCAGATGCATGCTGACATTACTGGTAAGCCTGGGGAAGTGCATGGAAAGAATTGTAAATACTGTTTTTTAGGTGTCTAGGTACTTTGTCTTTGGAAAAATAAAAATTTTCTTTATATAGAGCTGTATTTTGCTGCATGGCCAAAAAAGTGTGCAATTAAATGTTGCTTTTATTGGCTTCATCCTATTTGACTTGTCTCACTTCCTGCTCGTGCTGGGCATTGTATCCATTCCATAGAACAATTCTTTCCTGAATTGTTCCATGCCTTTGTCACTGATGTGGTTTAGGGGACAACATCTGGATCCTTGCTCCTGCAAGGTGTTGCTCTTGGTTTTGTAGAATTCCTGGTGGGTGGAAGGCCATGGGTATGTGAGAGGAGCTCTCAGGCCTCCCCATGGCATTTTTGGTCTCCCTTCATCCTATGTGTGTTGGACATCTCCGCACACCTGTGAGTCAGTTGAATATACTTCAAAAAATGTGGAAAAAATAACAAAATTTAGTGTAAAGGACTTCAGAGAAACATTGAGCGATGTGTGTTTTGGGTTTATTTCAAATTAAAATCAGTTAAGCTGTCATAAATTAAGTTTAAGGCCCAAATTTGGGGTGTTTGGTCTGGAGATCTGACTTGCTCTAACGTCAAACCACACTTTATAACCATGACGGACAAGCAAAAAAATAATGCCTGTTGACCTTAAAATTCACTAAATATATTGTAGTCAAAGTGATGCTTTGTGAAAAATGATGTTAAGTCAATGCCTTTCCTTCAAAAACTCACATATTTTAGGTGAATTTCAGCTACATGTAGAGTTGGGCTGCTGGGTTGTGATGTGTAAAAGAAAGATCTGTGAAAAGGTATTCTGATTAAAATGTAATCACAAGTTCTTTGACTGTAACTAATGGCCAAGTACAATTCAATACAAAAAGGCCTTTTTGCAGTTTGGAGTTCTCCCCCATTTGTAAAATCAGTGACTGACAAGAGATGTCAGAGTTCATCTGACTGAAATGCTCTTGGTTATGTTGAACTCATTAGAGCCTATCAGATAAAATAACTAACATTCCAGGATCAATCCCCCATTCTTTCCTGAAAAGAAAAAAAATCTGAATATATTATTGTTAGCGACAAATGCCCATGACTCAGCCATGCAGACATCCAATAGATAATTCCACAGGCCACTTAAAAAGTATCTTGATCTTTTTGTTTGCCTGGTAAGAATTCGGTATTCATTCTGATGATGCGGGAAATGGGCAGTAAATTTTAGAGCACGCTGAAAATTGCTCACTGACGCCTGGCAAAGAGCCACGGAGCTCTGAGCTTGAGCTTTAGATTTGCTGTTCCAAGCTGACCCAAGTCCTGAGCTGTGCTTCAGCTGAACTGGAGGATTGCTCAGGTGACAGGGCAAGCTTTGCATCAAGTAACTGAATGCCTTGTGTCATTAATTGCTTTTTATATTAATAATTTAATTACTCATTTTGAAAAGTGTGCGTTTTGCCTTTTTTCCTTTATAGGAGTTGTTTGTGGCTGATTTTAGGACTTCACCCAAATTTCAGCTCCTTCTGATCTTACACCTGGATCTCAGGAGAAGCAATTTTGGGGCATAATATCGTGGAGACTGTTGTGAGCAGGAGTCCCTGCTCCCACCCCTGTGTTTGCATCATCATTCACTGAATGACATTATCTCAGTGCTGGAAATGCAGACACATGCCAAATACTGCAGGAATATTGAATTTTTCCGCATAGCGAGGACAAGCATCTGAAGTGCAGCTAGAAAAGTATTTAGATTCCTGCTCTTGGTTTAGATTTTTCAGGGGAATTAAGAAAGCAGGCTAATTTTTGTTTGTTTTTTAGCCTTTTTCTGCTTTTCTTTACACTAGTGAAACAGGCCTCAGAAAATTCTGCATAAACCAAGGGGAAGTATGTTCTTGATAGTACCCATGGGTGATTTAATTTAATTCTGCTTTAGAATATATATTGTTTACTTGTTTTTCCAGTGTTTTAATTTTGTTTTTGAGTATCTTGCACAATTTGGGAGACAAGATTTCTCTTATTATTTCATACATAGCTTGAGAAAGTTTGCTACTCATATTTTCATGTCTTCCAGCAAAACCAGACTGGCTTTGTTGGCTGTGTGTTCAAAACCAAACACAAACAATCTTTTTTTGTTTGTTGCAAAAGAAACAAAAAGGAGACCGCCTTGTTTTCCCCTCCAGGTCAACTTTTAATAGGCACGTGGGTTTGGAGGGTGTGGGTAACAGGTTTATACCAAGTCCTTTGAGTGAGATAAATAGCCAGTGTCAAAGATCTGGGGGGTTGTTTTTTGTGTGTTTTATGTTCTGCATTAATGTTTTGGTAAAATGATTTTATTTAAATGCTGCACTTTTCTTGGAGCCTGGAACCACAGAGCAGAGAGATTTACATTAACCTACAGCAGGATGTAGCTGTGAATGGGGTTTTGAATAATGGTTTTCAAGCCCTTTTTGGTTCCTTTTTTGATTGTCTTTTTGGGTTTTAATTATTTGTGGAGCTGCTGGTGCTGCTGTGTTCCCTAACAGGGGCCTGGCTCTTCCCTCTGCAGGCAAGCCTGTTGTGCTGTCCAAAGAAGTGGAGTCTGTTTTGGTGGGTGCTGCTATTCTTGGAGCTTGTGCTTCTGGGGATTTCGCATCTATCCAGGTATTCAGCACCTGATTTTATGTCATTTTTTGTTCAGTTTTAATGTGTTTTACACCTTGACTTCTGGCACCCATGCACACACCTTAATCCAAGTGGAAAAGTTTGTCCCTTCTGCACATCCAGACAGGATCCAGCATCGCTTTCTCTCCACCCTCTGTTTAACTCCAGATATTATTTAGGTGTGTTGAGGATTCATTTGTCTTTGGACTGTGGGAACATGCATAGAAGCTGCTGTGTATGAAGTTAGCCCATGTAACTTTACAGACAAAAGAGGGAATCTGGCAAGGCTCTGATCCTGCAGGAAGCTCACACTTTGATCTCAGTTACATTTATCCTACTTTCCTTCCTTCATATTGAGGAATGTTAAACATAAGAAGCAACATAGCATTATTTATGCAGTAAAAAATAACACATCTTAGCTCTTCTCCCAGTGAATGCAGAGTTAATAATGAGAATGGAACTTCTTGTTCATGTGATTTCAGTCGACTAACAGCTGAAAAAGTAGCAGTGAGGCTTTTATTTTTAGTGGATCAGTCAAAGCATGGCTTAGCTTCATTTATACAAACAGCAGTGGCATCAGAAACCCAAAGAAGGGTCTGACTGTCCCAAATCATGCCTTTTTTCCCACCTGGCAATCCCATAAGCCATGTCCTCTCCTCATGCTGCACAAGGACACTGAACAGCATAATGCAGTTGGACAAAATGATTTATCAAGATGGTCCCTAATACATTTGTTGCATTTTTCTTTATAACACCAGGCACTGATATTTGTAGATGAAATTTTACACAAAAGCTTATCTGGAGATATTTTGTGAATAGGGAGGTCAGCTCCTTGACCTGGTTAAATTGTTGCAGTTCCACTGGAATCAATAAACAGCTCAACATAAGCCGAGGAGCTGGGCTGTGCTTGGCGCTTCTCCAAATGGGAATATTCTACAGGGCTAATGTAGGTTAGCAGGAAGAGCAGTTTCCTTTCATAAGAATGTTTCAATTCCAGTGAATCACATTGCAGCAAACACACAGTGCAGCATAGATGTCTGTGTGTAATAATTCTAGTGCTTGTAAGGAGGCCTTATTTTGATAAATGTAATTTCAGTAGCAACTTTTGGTGACTTCATATTTAATTCTTACTCATCTGGTAATCTTCTGCCTTCAAACACATATTTCATTCCAAGTCTAGGATGTTTCTGCTACTGTACAATGACTGAACATCTCAAAACTGATTTTATTAAGTCTGTTTTTATCAGCATTGGAAAAATCTAATACTGTGAAGTTTTCTGTGTTGTGTTTTATACAGTTTTCATGTATCCACTTATTTTTAGCTTTTAACCCTGTCTCTATATATAAAAATATTTCAGAAGAATATCCAGTAATTTCAGATATGAATATTTTTAGAAGAATTTAGCTGCATGGCATCACAAAGGAGAAACTGAATATGTTTATTTTAGGGACAAGGAAGTGTAAATGTGTATCTACCATTGCAGTTCAATAACCTCTCTGACATTTATTTTTGTAACACATCTTCTAAAACAACCCATTCTTAGAGGTGCTGTTGCAAACATGCAGCATCTTTGTAGACTTTGCAAATACAGGTTATTATCTCTCCTCTAATAGATGGTTTGTGCTTAATTACTGTGCTTTCCAAAGCTCTTTGTTTGCTCAGTGTAATAGTAAAGGAGAGAACTGTGGTTTTTTTACAATAACCTCTCTCTCCTTATGTCTGTGGTTTTTTTGAAGGGAATTTTTTTACTGTATTTTCCCCAGTCACTGGTCACATTTCTCAGAACAATTTTTGGACATTTCCACTCAGTGTCAGAATCAAAACGTTTAAAAGCTCCCTGGTTTTTAATGGTTGGCTGTTCTCCACTTTCTAAAACTCAAGCAGTTTTAGGACAGCTTGGAAGTTGCATCCAAATCTGGATCCCTCCAAATCACTTCTGCTAATCTTAGTCTAGCTTTACCATGCTCTGCTGAGAAGAGCTCTGGCTGCTGCCCACCAGGGATTCTGAATTTGATGGAATGTGCATCCTGTAGGTATTTGGGACATGGGGCAGCCAGGTCAGAGCAGCTGCCTCAGTCAGAATCTGGACACAAAGACATGATCCTCAAAATCTCCCAGGACATCCTTTTCAGCAGAGGAAAGACAGGGTGGGTCACCTAGGGAAGAGCCAACTCTGTGATAACCTTATGGAGTAGTCAGAGTTAGGCTTTATTTAGCTGCACAGGTAAGAAATGTGTTGGAATTGGGTGGCATTTCCTAGGGTAGGTCTGTGGCTGTGGTGTTGCTGTACTCTCATCCTCCTGCACAGTCCTGCTGCTTGGTGCTGTGGTGCCCCCCCACTGGGGTTTGAGATGGGGAAGCAGCTGCTTCAGAGGATGGTTTTTCCAAGGGCAGGCAGTCACTCACCACACGTGGCTGTTGATGCACCCATGTGGGACAGCAGGATCCTCACCCTGACCTGTCTTATTCATGGTGGCTGGAACACTAAAAGCTTTTCCTTTCTTTTGTTATCCCTAAATAAGTTTATTCTCACAAAGAAATGAGCAGCAACATGCCTCCTGTCTCCTCTCCCTTCCCATACTGCAGCTCTCCAAACAATTTAGCATTTTGTTCTAATTCTTACTTTTCACATATTTTTCTGCATATTTCAAGTGAAATATGCTTTCATGCTTTCTACTGACCACACCTGTAATAGTACCAAAATTCTCAATAAACAGAGCCTTTACAGAGAAGCCTTGGAAATGAAGATTAATGCAAAAGCTGTAACCAAACAGGTTAATTTGCAAGCTTCTAGTGTGCATTGAAAAGTTCAAGCCCCTTGAAGCTGCAATTTCGTCTTTAGGTAATTCTATCAAGGGAAGATTTATAACCTCCATCTCTCAGTCCTGGTCACCATATGTTGTTGCTTCAAAGAATGTTGACTTCCCTATTTTCCTCTTCATTTACTCTCCCTGCATTTTTCTCCTCTGTGGTAAAACAATTGGTCTATCCAAAAAGGAAAAAAAAAACAACCCATACAGTGTGGTGAGTTCTTCCCCATTTCATCTCTTGGTTATTTAGTATCTAGAAAGTCCAGAAAGGGGATAAAATCCTCTGATTTTCTTCTTGATTTATCTTTTAATTTGCCCCAAGAAATGCTTTTTTCTCTGAGTGGTTTTGTGGGAGCTCTAACACAGCCTGGCTGAGCCCCGGCAGACAGTGCTGTGTAAAACAGTTGTGGCATAAAGATTTTTGAAATAGAGACTGTGTTTTTGGGGTTTGGATTTTTGAAATATGTGCTGTATTGAATGAAATAACCTTAACATTGCTGGCTTAGATGGGTCAATTTCTTGGTTCTAGCCATTCCTTTCATGCTGAGCAGCAGGATCCTGCTTTTCTGTGGGATTGTTTCTATAGTAAAAATATAGTTTCCGGTTTAGCCAGCCAGCAATTCCTTCTCAGTAGAAATGTTCAATAAATAAATGTCAAAGTTTCCAGTATATCCTCGTTACTCTGCCTCAGTCGTACATAATTGAAAATGGGAAGAAGGTGCTGTTTGATTTGGCAGTCATCCAGCTAATTTTTTTTTTTGGATAGCCCACTCTTTGGGACAAAGCTGTACACCAGGGAACAGGCTTATTGCCTTATAAAACCCTGCAGCCCACTGACTATTCCTTAATTGTGTATTAAAGCAATTAATAAAATTACCTGTATGGAATCAGATTGCCAGATTTATTTTGGAAGTGCTGCATTCACATAGGGCAGCATGGGAGAGAAGAAACTCTGATTTTCCAGAATGCATTTTGTTGGTAACTCTCTGTAATCAGCTTTCTGTGAACATTTTTAGTGTGAAACACTGAGCTAGAATTTAGAATCAACATGACTACAAGATTTTTCAGGTATCAAATTGACTTTTAAGGGAGGTTTAGTCTTTCCTTTGTTGGTTTTGGTTGTTAAGCAAGTTGATGGTATATCCTGCTAAAAGATAGGGAAAAGCTTTTTCATTGTTTCTATAAAGCAGGTCAGAGGTGTGTAAAAAATGAGCTGGATTCTATAGGAAGAGGTGTTAGGTAATTATCTCATGTGGATTGGCTGAATTATTTAGTAGCAGATCAGGTGAAGGACCCCCATGGTCCAGTCTGCAGCCCTGGGAGCAGCCCCAGGAGCCGTGGGGATCGTGGTCCCCTGGCTCAGAGTCTGTGGGCTGTATTGCAGGTGGGAGTTGAAGTTAAGGTGGTGCAGGGAAATAATTCACTCACAGCTCTGTACTAACGGAGCCTGGAAGAGTTTTGTTTATGCACTGCTGGGTTTTACTTCATTTAATGGACATCTCTCAGTTGTCTGAGGATGATGTTGGATGGTAGTACACAGAGGGGAAAAAACAAATAACAAAGCCCACAGATAGCACAAGTTTTATAAAGATCAGTGAGGAAGAGCATAGGATACATGGAGTGTTTGCCTTGTAACAATTAAAGTGTTACAGACAGCCATGAATGTAAAGAAGTTCCTGAGTACAATTAGTGCACAACCTTGGTAATGGACCAGCTGGCAATGAGGAAGAGACAGCATTTTCATAAGAACACCCATAAATAGTACTGAGACATATTCAACTTTTGTGCTGACAGAACTGGAGGGGGTTAGGCCATTTCCATTTCTGGATCAAGCCTTTTCTGGTGTAATTTTGTTCCACTTATTTCAGTGGACATGCTGAAGTTCATGATCTGATCCTCTATTCCTCTTCCAAAGCATTACCTGTCAGGCCATGGATTGAAATTCATGCAAGCGTCCCATGATTTCCATATTTTCAAAAGCAAGGACTGAGTGGAAGATCAGGGAAGGGATAAGTTTTTCCTTAGAAATGGTAATAACTTGGGAAATCAAAAGAGGAAATAAAATGACTTCTCCCTGTTGAGTTCAGGAATGCTGCCTTCCCTCATCTCATTAAAAATTTAAAGCACTCTTGTTTTTGAGCTGGGTGAATTAGTAATTAAGTGCTATAATCAACTTGTGTAAACATAAT